TCACATACATGCAGGCAATACACTCATACACATAAAATTAAAAAAAAAAATAGCACTTTCTATTTACCAGTGGTGAAAGTATGTTAAAAGCTTAGAACATATAAGGAGGTACTGAAAAATAATTATCAGTATCACTGTCTTTGTACTTTTCTTTTTGAATGCATTTAAATCTAAAAATCACATAGGTATAGTAAAAGAGGAATCTGTTATGTCTTATTGTTTCTTACATGCTTTTGTCTTAAAAACATTTTTATTATTGCATGTGTTTGTGTATGTGATGAAGGGGGCGCGTGTGTCATGATGTGCCTGTAGAGGTTAGAGGGCAACTTTGTGGAGTCATTTCTCTCCTGCCACCTTTACATAGGTTCCAGGGATCAAACTCAGGTTGCTAGGCTTGGCAGCAGGCACTGTTACCTGCTGAGCCATTTCGCTGGCCCAAGTTTTCTATTTTATTGTAATTGCTTATACTTGGTTTTTCCACAATAATTAAATTCTTTAAGAGACTGATTTTTGGTTTTAAAAACTGCACCTAAGAGAATGCTTTGTATACTACAAGTTGAATATAGTTTATTTTTTACAGATTTATTTATTTTATGTGTATGTGTGTGGGCATGAGTATATATACGTACACAATGTACATGAGGTGCCTGGGAGGCCAGAAGTGGGTGCTGGATCCCTTGGAACTAGAGTTACAGGTAGTTGTGAGCCACCTGATAATGGGTATGGCGGACCAAACTTTGGGTCCTTTGGAAAATGATTTGCGCATAAAATCCTCTTTTTCTTATATTTTATTTATTATTATTTTTTTATGTGTATGAGTGTATTGCCTGCATGTAGGTAAATGCACTTATTTTGTGCAATGCCTGCAAAGGTCAAAGGAGGGCATTGGATTCTTCTGGAACTGGCGTTACAGACAGTTGTTATCTGCCATATGGGTGCTGGGAATAGAATCTGGGTCCTCTGAAAGAGCATCCAATGCTCTTAACCACTGAGCCATTTCTCCAGCCCCATAGAATCTTTTTTGATAGTGAGCGTATAGATAGATAGATAGATAGATAGATAGATAGATAGATAGGTAAAGTAGCATATGGATGAATCCAGTTGATCAGGAGAAAGCACCAGGACATGGATTAAAACTCCATTGGAATATAATTTATTAGCAAAGCAGCACATGGGACAGATTCCCTTCCTGGCAGGGAAAATGTCTGTCTGGGTCATGAGCTGTGGTCTTTTAAAGGAAGAGGCTTCTGGGGGGTGCAGAAGGCAGGAAGACATTTTTTTTTAAGTTGGGTGAAGGGGAGAGTGGGAGAGCAGGACTGTTAAAACCTGTCCTCTTTAGAGATCAAAGGGGAAGCCTGCTGTGTTGGCCAAACTGGAGAAAAGTCTGCTTTTCTTGACTTCAAAGACCAGGGTGCTTATCAGCTTGGTTCCCTTTTCTCAGGAGCTTGAGAAGTCCTTGAGACCTTTTTGGTGAGGGGGTGGGGCTATCTGAACCTTAACATTCCAGCCTTTTGTGTTGCTTGCTACTTCCTGCTGGACAGGGTCGACGTGGGGGGCTTGGATTAGGAATTGATTAGATAGCGGGGGTTCCCTGTTCATGCATCTCAACAGGGTCCTCGATGGTTGACAGGTGCTTGTATATATGTGGAGGGAAGGAAAGTAACAACTGTTGAAAATTAGTATGAGAGTAAGTGTTAGTTTTTGGATTTTGGTCCTGAAAATATCTGAAGAGGCAAGGAGCAATGGTTAGCACCAAGGTACTACCTCTTTTTCTTTCTTTCTTTCTTTCTTTTTTTTTTTCCTTTTGCCAGGGCTGAACTTGAGAGTGATGGACTCAGGATTTGTTTTCAGGCATTTTGATAGTTGTTGGAGTGGCTAGAATCAGTGTCAGTTACCTCTCAAAGGCTTCTAGATAGGGAGAGAAAACAAATTTAGCCACCATTTAACTTTTTAGGCTAGAACAGTAGTGGGTTGTCTCCCTTAGCTGTAGGTGGGCCCTACAGTATTTCAGACCAAGATTTGAAGTCTTACATCTGAGTAGCTTTGTCCTATTAGGAACAAAACCATCAATGAGAGATAATTGTCTAAATAACATAAGAACTTATGTCTAATGTCTGGGTTGTGTAATCCCTTGAACTCTTAAAATATACTGATGACTGTAATTTTTGGTTATACTTTCCTTTTGGGTGTTTAAGACTATACTGTTGGCCCAAATAAACCAATTTATTTTTACTCTTAAGGTCATATGAGAATTTGGTCCTCGGGTCACATGGGCTTGGGAGGAGCCCCTGGCTCCAGGCTTTTCTTTTACCAGTTCCATCTGTGTGAAGATAAGTCAAGAGGTCTTGCTTGACCAGGGCTTCGCTTGGAAGCATGGAGGAAATGTTTCCTCTGTGTTGACCCTCCTCTTTGCAGACTGGACACTGGTTCAAGTCCATCTTCTGGGGTCTCCATGGCCTCCCTGAACAAGAGGACAGGTGACTCACCAAAATTACAGGACATTTCGAGAGATGTTCCTTAGCCCATGGAATTTGACTTTGGAGGGCAAGGAACAAAAATTGGTCCCTTTAAGTCCCTCTGACCAGATTAATATAGGGCTTAAAGTTTGGTTATTAAACATCCAACAAGGTTATTTATACCAGTCTGGTACTTTTAATTACCGTGTGCTATGTAGATAAGAGCTTGGGCAACATCCTTAAATAAACCTTGACTAGATATCTTTAGACTAGTTGACTAAGCTATGACCTTAGAAATTTTAAGATTATCTCTATATTATCTTTGTCTCATTTCAAATTTATAGGAACATGGTGGGTAGGTGTAGTGGAGAATGGCTGAGGTGGGGTTCAGAGGGAAAAATAGACATAGGGTCAGTAGAAAACTCATTCCTGGATTGGTGTTAAGGGAGGAGTCCTCAAGATTTTTAATTTAAGAGACCTGATACTGATGGCCTGATACTTGCTGTGTTTATTGGCCAATTTTAATTTGGAGAGATGAGTCCAACCAGGTTGTTCCAAGAGCTTGGCTGCAGTCAGGGTAGACAGGATCACCAGGTGAGGACCAACATGGCTGGAGGGTTTTCTTCAGTCCTTACTGTTGAGTGTGAACCTGCAGGTAGGCGTGATCTCCAGTTTGAAGTGGGTGGTCAATTTGGCCTTTAGAAGCTTGAGGAATAATCTGGTCAGCATGTTCCCTGAGTAGTTTCCTTAGAAGGGTGAAGGCAGGTAAACAGTCGTGTAGAGGGGAGGGATGTTGGAGGAAGAGGTCATCCTTGGCTAAAATTAGGGCCCTGGTGAGTGTCACAAGTTTGACTTTTTGTGATGTGGTTCCAAGTGGTAGGGGTCCTGACTCTATGACATCTGTGAGAGATACTATGGCCTGTGGGACTCCATTGGGGTGAGAGTTAAACCTATCCATAAACCAAGTTAGGGTTGGGTTTGGTAGAGGATTTGGGGAAATTAGGGGATCCCGGTAGGAGAGTTCCTGAAGAGTTTCCAAGCATGAGTGAGTGAGTGAGCGGTTCACTGGAAGGAAGGTAGGAAGCTGGATTGAGAGGAGGGCAGGAATCAAGGGTGGGCAAGGGGTTTTTAAAGAAACATGACATGGAAGAGTTGTTTAGAGGGAGCTAGATTGGCAAGAGATGTGTGGGTTACTTAAGCTGGTGAGGGGAAAGGACAGAGATGGGCTGATCCAAAGTGAGCTTAATTCCCAATGGAGCCAGGAGAGTGGTAGTGGCCAGAGCACGGAGGCAAGGGTGCCAGTCCCAGAAGGTGGTATTACACTGTTTAGAGATAACCTACTGGGGCAAAAGAGGGACCCCTCATCTGTCCCATGCCTGGTCCTTATTTTTAGTTCTATAGAGGAGGAATGGACATTTGAGGTTGGGGAGAGGTTGAGCCGGTGACTTTAAGAGTGTTTATAATTGTGGAAGGCTGCTGTAATGGGCTCTAAGGCGTCAGTAGACTCAGGGAAATTCCCTTTGGAAGCTTCGTGGAGCAGCTTTGTAAGGAGGGCAAAGTTAGGAATCCAGGTGCACAGGTACTCTGCAATGTCTAGGAAAGATAGAATTTTCTCCTTGGTTGTGGGGGTCTTTAAAGACCTTAGGTAATTTGACCTATTTATAGTTAAACAGTGGGATGTAGGTGTGAGAAGGAACCCCAAGTACTTGACTTGAGGGAGAGAAAAGTGAGTCTTAGCTGAAGATATCCTATATCCTTTGTACCCCCCAAAATTAAGGAGTTTGATTGTGTGAGCCTTGGAGACTGAGAGAGATGGAGAGCAAAGAAGTAGGTTATCTACATATTGTAGGATGGTGGAGGGGTTAAGGTCTAGGGAAGTTAAATCCCAGCTAGAGCTTGTCCAAAGAGGTGAGGGCTATCTTGAAACACATGGGGCAGGATAGTCCAGGTTATATCATAGATGCGAGTGA